TATGCCATCTTCTGTAGCTTTTCCACAGTTACTATTAGGGAACTGGATCAAAAGTGAATATGAACAGCCAGGATATGAACTGACACCCATGTCTCCAGGAATTTTTGAAGATTCCCTGTATAGTTCAAACTAAAGAACTTGCAGAATTACCGGTATTTCCTGTTGTAGTTATAAAACACCCTGATAGAAGCGTCTCTCACAGCTCTTTTATTTCCTTGAATAAAATTCTATTGTGTTCTTAGTAGTTGAGTTTTGTACTTACTGTGAATTGTGTTTGATTTCTAGCTGTCTATCCCAGTTGTGCTGGTTACATTGAGTAAGAATGATTCTGTGGAAGGTAATGCTTTTCTGCCACAGAATTCATAGCTGTGAAAATTAATATTGAAAATATTTTGAAGCAGTGTTAAGTGCTTATTTTTTTTTAAGATCTATTCATTTATTTTTATAAAGTCAGATATACAGAGAGGAGGAGAGACAAAGATCTTCCATCTGATGATTCACTCCCCAAGTGGCCTCAACGGCTGGTTCTGTGTCGATCCGAAGTCAAGAACCAGGAACCTCTTCCGGGTCTCTCCTGCACGGGTACAGGGTCCCAAGGCTTTAGGTGGTCCTCGACTGCTTTCCCAGGCCACAAGCAGGGAGCTGGATGGAAAGTGGAGCTGCCGGAATCAAAACCGGCGCCCATATGGTATCCTGGTGCGTTCAGGGCGAGGACTTTAGCTGCTAGGCCACGCTGCTGGGCCCTAAGTGCTTATATTTGTAATAGAGGTCTATATCATTGCCTTTAAAGTTATTAGATTGTTGCAGTGGCTTTTTGCATACATTTCCTCTCATGCTGAAAAAGAAGACATCCTAGGATGACAGTGGGGAAAAGGGCTGAGGGCTCTCTTTGAGAGTAAAGAGAAGATTCAGAATCAGGATGGTACAATAGGGTAAGGACGCATTTAAACAATAATTAGCTAGGGTAAAGGGAAGAGCACAGATTTCAGGAAATCAGGCCCACGGCGAAATGGCACTTGGAAACTGACACGGGGAAGCATTGGAGACAGTGGTGTGGTGTTGTAATGACCAGATACCCCGGTAGCAGTCAATGAGTGGTTTTCCAAAGCTCCACCAGGAGCCAGCTGGGAAGGGGAGTGCACCAGGAGCTGAGGAGGTGAACCCAGTCAAAGAGCTACCCGTCCTGCTGATTTATTTGATCCAACCTGTAGCAGAGAGAACAGCAGACCCCAAATGGGTGGTGCAGGAATAAGGTGGATTTCACAGGCCAAACCCCTACCAGTGCCACATCAGCTGCCTTGGGTTATTTATTTATTTATTTTTTTGGTAGTGAGGCAAAGGCTATGGGACTGGAAGGACAACAGCAAGCTGTGCATGTTCTAAGCCAGGAGCCAAAGCTCTTTCCTGCTCATGCATTGTACTGATCCCACTGAAAAACAGTACCCACGTGGCATCCTATAGTTTCCACCCAAAATAGGTCCAGCTAGCTCCCAGACCTGAAAGCTAGCAGATTAGCAGATCCAGAACTCCACCCCTGTGACACCAGGTACCATTTTGCACAGTGTGGCCATGTGGAGGGACATCAGTGAGCTGTGCATACTTTGAGCTGGGAGTAAGCTCACTTTCAGCTCAGTGCATTCATTGTGCAGTTCTCAGGGGAAAAGTAATACTAATTTTGGCATCAGAATAGATCAGGGTGGCCTTCAGACCTAATAGCCGGGAGGTTCTGGCAAGATCAGCACCACCAACAACCTCGTTATTTAGATCACCTGGTATCACCTTAATCCTGAGAACTGCTCAAACCAGAAGTGGGAGAAAGGTTGTACAGATAACGGTGCAAGGACAGCGCAGGATCACAGGAGATGGAGAGTGGTGACCGAGGAGCTGCTGGGCTATGGGGAGTGTAGTGGAAGCCCAACACAAGAATCCAGACCTGAAACTCGCAGCAGAGAATGGCACAAGAGATGGCAAACAGAGAACTGGGTACCAATTGCAAGAAATAAGATCTAACTGTAGACCTGTGGGTAACAGCTGAGAAACTCTGCTGTAAGAGAAGAATCTGCTAACCAGAAGTACAATGACCAAGAGAAAAAAAGAGACAAAGGCACAATGAATATTACTGAAGACTCTCCTGCAAAATGGCAGAAGTGTTTGCTGACCTCAAAGTTAAGTAACAAATACATCCAGGAATTAGGGGATAAAGAACTTAAAAAAAACTTGTCAACAACGAAGAAGCACACACAAGAACTTAAGGAATATGTCAAACAGGAAATAGCAACATTGAGACAAAATTAAGCCGAATTATTAGAAATGAAGGACACAATAGAGCAAATTAAAAATTGAGTGGAAAGTCTCAATAATTGAAAGAGAAAAAAGAATCTCAGATTTGGAAGATATTTCTAGTCACAATGGGGGAAAAAAATCTGGAAGCAGAGCTGGGTCAGGCTGAAAAAAAATCAAGAATTAAGAGACAATATTAAAAGGCCAAATATAAGAGTTGGGGTTCCAGAAGGAGCAGTAAAATAAGCTGGGGCAAAAGCTGTATTCAATGAATGAAAACTTCTCTCATCTGGAGAAAGAATTGGGAAACAAAATCCAGGATAGAAATAGAACTCCCAGTGTGACCGAAAGTGGTCTTCACCAAGACACATGATATCTAAGCTCTCTTAAATCGAACATAAGGAAAAGATCCGTAAACGTGCACGTGAAAAAAAAAATCAATTGGCATATAAAGGAACCGCAGTGAGACTCACAGCTGACCTTTCAGAGGAAACCTCTCATACCAGAAGACAGTAGGATGACATAGTCCAGATTCTAAAAGCAAAAAAAAATACCCAGCAAAGCTTTCTTTTGTCTTTGAAAATGAAATAAAATTCTTCCACAGAAAAGAAAAGCTCCAAGAATGCACCTCTTCCAGACCTGCCCTACAAATGATACTTCAAGATGTTCTCTTGGCAGAGAAGAGGAATAGCACCTACCAAAACCAAAGGCAAATGTGAAGAACATCCAAGTAAAATGACAAAAGAAGACTAAACCAAACTGTGAACATTCTATTGCTAAAATCACAGGACCAAATCATTACCTATCCATATTGATCCTGAAAGTGAATATTTAAACTCATCCATCATGTCACAGATTAGTAGACTGTATCAAAAAACAAAACCCATCAGCAGAAACTGATATCTCGTGGATTTTGATGTGTTTTTCTTTTTAGCTTCATTTCTGCAAGTTTTTTTTCTCGTGTTGAATTAATCACTGACTCATAGGTAATGCAGTTACATTTTTTTCACGAAGCTTATAGATTTTCATTTCTTCAAAGACACATTATGTTAAGTTCATGGTGCTGTAAATTTGTATTTTTCTTCCTGTTGATTTTGTTTTGTAGCTTTTCTTTTAAGGGGATGTATAGTAACTGTGTTATAGATCTTATCCAGATGTGAGGATACAATGCAGTATGCATCTCTACTTCCAAATCAAAGATGGATTTACAATGAAATTATTAAGTATATCTTGACAATAGGTTGCTGGACTCTGCCGTTGTCCGTATCTACAATGTCAGGATACACTTAAATAGTAGAATGATTAGCTCATGGCTGTTTATGAAGAACTGTACTATTGTAATATAGGGGAAATCAGTGGGAGAGGGAGAGGATTTGTGGAACAGTCTATATGGCTATATCATAAAATAATTTAAAAATAAAGTAGGGAAAAAGTGTATTCAGAGGGCATGGGAATAATTAGGGCTGTGGTGAGAAACCAGTTTTTAAACTGGAAGGAATTATATTATCCTTTATGCATTGAAGACAGTACTTGTATGCCAACATATTTCAGTACAAATATAGATTTTTATGATACACAAAATCAGATGTTCACAGTCCGTAATTCTGTTTGTGTTTTGCAGAAAGTGAGATACGTAGAATTAGATTAGTAAAGACTTGAAAGTGATGATTGCCTCTAAGTGCTTTGTTTGAATAATGCTGCTCTGTTAGGAAGGGACTCCAAAAACTTCCTGGAACATCAAATTTGATTTTGCTGAGGGAAAAAAAAAAGGTCTTTGAATATCACGTGTGTTGTCCTTTTCAAAGAGTTCATGGGAAATGCATAGTATGAAAAAGCTGCATGGATTTCAATTTTATCACGAGAGTAAATGGATTTCTTAGTTCCCTATTCCATGAGCTTTTTGTAGTAGTCTACTATGTGTATTAAAGCCTTTTAAAATTTAGTATTGGCAATCAGTTTAAGTCATATAGATCTGTATTTCAGCTCTCAGTTCTAGCTTCAAGGAATATAATCTCCTAGTACAATATTTAAGAATCATTAAGAGATATCTGCCTGCCTTGCTCTCTACACCAACCTGCTTGCTGTTCTGACCTCGCTTACCCTCCTTTTGCTTCCTTACTTCTCTGCTCTCATCCCCCTTTTTTAAGATTTGTTTTATTTTTGTTTGAACGGCAGCATTAGAATAAACCTGCCATCTCCTGGTTCACTCCCCGCCAATGGTCACAGAGGCCAGAGGTGAGCTGATCTGGAGGAAGCTTCCAGGTCTCCTGCGAGGGCACAAGTCCCCATCAGTGTGAGCCATTATCCCCTGTTGGTTTCCCTGGCCATAGCATGGAGCAAAGTTTGGCATAGAGCACCTGGGATTGGAACTGGCACCTATTTGGGATTCCAGTGCCTCAAATAGAGGCTTAGCTTATTATGCCACTGCCCCTGCCTCCTATCTCCCTTTCTACTTCCCCATCTCGCCTTGAGTATGATGGCTACTCCACTACTTCTGCCTCTTTATGAAGGTACTGGCAGGAATCTGTAGTTTGAGTTGTAAATCTGTAGTTTGAGTTGTAAGAGATTTACTTTTCTGTAACTTGGGAGGTAGTCAGAAATGCCACATTGCTTAGAGTAATTTGAAGTTTTTTTCATCTGAAAAGTTTGGAAGTGGTAGCTTAGAGTAATTACACTTACAAAATTGTATTCATGTTTATATGGTTTTATTTTAACTACAGGACCGTGTGTATGTACAACAAAATAATGTGGAGAATGTCTACAATTTGGGATTAATTATTTTTCGAGACCAAGTAGTACGTTACGGGTGTATTAGGGATCATCTTCGGCAAACTCTGTTGGATATGATTGCAAGAGAGCGTAAAGGAGAAGTTGTAGACAGGTATAATTTATGATTTTACTATTGTGGTTTGGGCTGTTAGTGGTTATATTTTAAGTACCAATTCACTGTCATGATTTTACTTTAAAGGAAAAAGGGTTCAAAGGTCCAGCACCTTGTTTAAAATTCTCAAAAATCTTTGTGTCACGGTTTATAAAGCTGCCACGAATTGAAACACAGACCCGTTGTGTTTAGAAGAGAGCATCCTCCACCTTTATTTTTTAACTTATTTCATGAGGACAGATCAGCCATTAGTCTTTCCGATTGATTTTCATGTATTGTTTTCTCTTGGCATTTTGTTTCATTTCTGCTCTGTAATAATATTTTTTTATTTCTATTCTTACTTTCCTTAAGGTTTTTATTTAACTTTCATTCCGATCATTTTTGAGGAAATATGTTAACTGTCTGAAATAACTAGTGACTGCTGTTATTCTTCTGAGTTCCATTGCATCCTTCTTCCTGATAGGGCTTTGAGAATGTAGTTGTGATGCTGCGGTTAGAATTACTTTTAACATTTAATATTGCACTCTGTGCTGTTCTGTTCTTGTTGCAGCTGTTAGGTGAATAGTTGAAAAATTGTTTCAGTTGGTGTTTGAAAAGTATTGCCTCAGATAATTCAGTGGCCAAAATTGTACAACCCAGGCATAGCTAGCTGTATGTTATAAACCCATGCCTAACAATGAATACATCCAAGACTACTGGTCTACCTTCGTCACATTTCCCTGATTATAGTTTTATATTACTAGAAATATTGGACATTTTAACTATTCAGAATGTACTTTCTAAACATAAATACTACAGCAGTAAGCATTTGGCATAGCAGTTAAGGTGCTGCTTGGCCCATCTGCATCCAGTGTCTGAGGTCCTAGGTTTTAAATTCCCAGCTTCTTAGTTCATCTTCCTGCATCTCTGTGCCCTGGAGTGCAACAGGTGATGATTTAAGTACTTCCCATGGGGAGATCCAAACTTGAGTTTTTGGCCAGTAATATCAGCCTGGCCTGGCCTGGCCCGGCCATTGTAAGCATTTGATTAGTCAACCAACAGATGGATGAGCTTGATATTTTCTAGCTACATCCCTCCCTCTTATATCAACCAAATAAAGCAAATATTAAAATTATACTGAATTATTATAAGTGTGTTGTATATGGGAATTTTTGCTGTGTTTGAAGCTAAAAGTTTTGTGGTGTATAGTCTCTGTACCATTGTATTTTTTGCATGAGTCTTCGGCTACCGAGTGATTCAACTTCTTTTGACAGAGGCGCAATAAGAAATGCTTGCCAGATGTTAATGATTTTAGGTCTCGAAGGAAGATCAGTCTATGAAGAAGATTTTGAGGCTCCTTTTTTGGAAATGTCTGCAGAATTTTTTCAGGTAATCACTGAAGATATAAACTGTTTAAAAAATTTTTTTATATTGCTGTTTATAATTATGTGATTATTTTGATATGTTTTGACAATCCTCAGTATTGTTTCTGTCATAAATTATTTAAGTATTGTAAATTCACAGGCAGCACTTCACCAAAAAAGTCTTTCTGTACAGGTTTCTTTTGTGACATGAATTGTTAGTAAAATCAGTAGAGGAATTTGCATGAAAAAGAAGAATTTGCATTATTCTGTAATGCACATTTGCTTTAGAATGTAGGCCAGGGAGTACTGAGTCACTGCCCACCTGTCATAGATTATGGGGACTGACAGTATCTGAGTACTGTGATGCTAATCAGGCATCTTGCTGAAACCTAACACATCTGGGTTTTACCAAAACTGAAGTCTTGTACAACACTAACAAAACAAGTTTAACGCCAGTAATATGATTTAACAAGTTCATTCAGAAGCAGAGATGCTAGTTGTATATATGATGGAATAGGTTGGGGTTAATGTTTACCCGTAAATAAAGGACGGACTTGCTGCCTGTTCCTGTTCCCTGTTAATCAATTTAGAGCCTATCGTGAAGACACTTGTGGCTACACTGGTAAGCTGGGATCATTCTTTATGAACTACTCATTTATTATAATGTAGGAAATAATTTTATTTTCTAATGTGTCATATAGTTCTATACATTTTTGACATTGTTTGTAACCTTTGCATCTTTTTTCTACAATACTGTCTTAAACTAGAGGAAGATAAATCATTTGTATATAAAGATTCAAATGACATAAAGATTCTTTATGTTCATATGGATTCAGGTGTCTGCATGCACAGAAATTTGTAATGATCACTAAGTAAAAATATGGTCTCACCAAGGCTGCTTTGATATGTTACTGTCTAAGGGACTTCATTGTCCTCGCGAGAGAGTGGGAAGTACTACTGGATTTTGCACATAGTATGCATCAGTGTGTTACTTAGTAATGCTGTCACATTAAATCAGTTGACATAGCATTTGTAATCTAGTGGTACATGTGTAAGGCTAGTGCTAGCAGACAAGACTAGTAAGTATTTATTAAATACTTTATTTCTCAAAGTTCAGTATGTATGTTCCTTTGAGACTGACAGTGGAGCAGCACCAGGACTTTACGGTAAACACAGTGAACCTTTAGTTATGATGTTACATTCAAACAACTCAGAGTCCCTTCTCCTTGGTAGAGGCAGAGGTGGTTAGCGTGTCAGTCTTGCACTAGGACATGTGTTTGCTTTGTCCACTGTTTGGCTTATATCAGCGAAATAAATATGGGTTATAGGTCGTATATTCAGGAAAATGAATGTGTTGAAGGATATAATTCAGAATATTTATATTGCGAAAAATCCTCTAGGTCATTTGGATCGATTTATGAAAAAACTGTAGAAGCCCAGTAAAAGCAGACACATTGCATTCTGTGCAAAAAAAAAAAAACCCTCAAAACAAAACAATATATATGTATATTCTTATGAATTGCAGATGGAAAGCCAGAAATTCTTAGCAGAAAACAGTGCTTCCGTATATATAAAGAAAGTAGAAGCTAGAATTAATGAAGAAATAGAACGAGTGATGCACTGTCTTGACAAATCAACTGAAGAGCCAATTGTGAAGGTGGTTGAGAGGGAACTCATTTCCAAGCATATGAAGACCATTGTAGAAATGGAGAATTCTGGCCTAGTACATATGTTGAAAAATGGAAAAACAGAAGGTACGTGTTGCCAGTAGAAATATTTGACCCATTAGTGTTTGTTTAATTCTTCCACAATTATCGTATAAATGCCACTTTTCAGCAAGTTGTGTTATATGTCATTATCACCTTGTTTTTACATGGTGATTGATTTTACCTTTCATGTATTTTTTTTAAAACTTTTGAAAAATCTGAGCTTTGCTGTAGTCAGCACTGTGGCATGGTTGGCTAAGCCTCCACCTGTGGCACTGGCACCTGGAAGGGGATCAGCTCATGTTTCTGCCTGTGGCACTGGCACCCCAGAGTGGGACCAGCTCATGTTCCAGCTGTTCCACTTGTGATTCAGTTATGCCTGCTTATCGCCTGGGAAAGCAGCAGATGTCCCAAGTGCCTGGTCCCTGCACCTGTGTGCAAGACCTGGGAGAAGCTGGCTTTGAGTTTGGATTGGCTCAGCTCTGGCCAGTCATAGACCATTTGGGGAGTGAACCCATGTCTGGAAGATCATGCATTTTCTTATTCATTTTCTCTTTAATAATTTTCTTACTGAAAAGACAGAAGTGTTGAATGTACTAGTAGAGATATTACAAGTGAAAAAGAACAATCAAAGGCTTTTATTCTTAATTTCTAATACTTAGTTTTAAATTTTCATGTTGTAAATTACTGGTAATGGTATTAAAGATAAGTAAATATGATTTATCACTTGTTTTCCTTCCTAGGTAAAATGTTAGCAATATCTTAAGCCACTTACCTTTACTAAAGAAAGTGCATGTTTCCTGTTGTTCATGCCTTAAAGCGGAGAATGAAAAAAAAAGTCTTGCAATTTTTTAATAATTTTGTTTAAAGTTTACTTGTCTGTGTATAGAAGAGGAGCAAGCCCCCTTCCTATTTGCCTCCTAGATTCCCAAAATTGCAGGAGCTGAGCGTAGCCTGAGTTGGGAACGAGGAACTCAGTCCTGGTCCCTCCTGTCATTGGCAGTGATCTGGTTACTTGAGGCTGCTCCTTCCCAGGGCACTTAATACAGGAAGCTGGCAAGGAGAGCTAGGTGTGGGTATGACAGCTGGCATCTGAACCATTATGCCAACCCACTATCCTGAAAAACATGTTTATAGAAGAGTTATAAGGAGGAGGTGTATGGAATAGCAAAGGAAAATGGTAGGAAAAGAATTTTTGCCATCTGTTTTTACTAGTAGAATTTTTGGCTTTGTGTTTTTTAGTAGTTAATTTTTGTAAATGGGAGTTCTTGTACTGTGTAACTGTTGTTTTTATTATTGAATCAGAGAAACTTCTTAGGAAAGGAAGTACTCTTCTGGTACACCTGAAACCCATCTTTTAGTTTTTTGCCTTGTTTTCTAAAATAAGTTAGTCTTGGGTCATTAAAGTCTAAATCATGGTTTGGCAAACTTTTTGTTTTTTGGTAAAGGCCAAGGTAGTAGATATGTAGACTCAGGCTGTATAGTCAGCTACTCATTTCTGCTATTACACTGAGGAAGTAGCCTTAGTAACTCATGATTCTATGACTACAAAACTACTTACTGGATTTTCAGGTCATTAAATATTTTTTTTATTTTTCCCTGAACCATTTTAAGATGTGAAAAACATTCCCCTAGGCACAGCATGGTGGCCTAGTGGCTAAATGCTCACCTTGCCAACCAGCTGGAATCCCATGTGAACCCTCATTCTAGTCCCAGCGGCTCCACTTCCCATCCAGCTCCCTGCTTGTGGCCTGGGAAAGCAGTCAAGGACAGCCCAAAGTCTTGGGACCCTGCACCCATGTGGGAGACCTGGAAGAGGCTCCTGGCTTCAGATTGGCTAAGCTCTGGTCACTGGCCACTTGAGGAGTGAACCAGTGGCTAGAGATCATTCTCTGTTTCTCCTCTCTATAAATCTTCCTTTCAAATAAAAAGTTTTTTAAATGGCAAGTTATATTCACTGCTGGCTATGATTTGATGACCCCTCATTGACAAGGCTTCATGAAGAATCTTCTTCCTAGTTAAGGAAAATGATTATCAGTAAATTCATCTACTATTTAGGTGTTAATTTAATGCTTTCCTGCCTACCTTGAAGATACGCAGTGAGAGATGTTTAAATACTCCAGAAATGAGGCTAGGAATTATTTATAGAGATTGTTGAGCCTTCCTAAAGTATGCCATCTCTGTAGCCTCCACAGAGATTTGTGTTAAATGTATTGGTTGTTCCTAGTATTTCCACATGCTTATTAAGTATATGAATGAAGGAATGCTAAAAAAGTTACTTAATATACTTTCTCTCTATTAGTATTTAGTGTTTTCAGCAAGTGACAATTTATGGTATGATTTAAATTTTTAAATTTGGTTTGTAATGCTTTTGCTAGAAACCAACTTATGAAATGTTTTGATTTTGGTAGTTCCTTCTCTTAGGCAGTGTATTTATGGAGAATATCAGACACATCTTCGTGATTATGAAGTCATATTCTCATAAATTGGAAAGTAAAAGACAGCTGTATCACTATGAATGAAAGATAGTTTGGACTATTAGAAGGAAGTAGCGCTGTGAAGTTCAAGTGATGTATGTTTTTTAAATATAATGTGGAAAGAGCTCTTTCATGCTTTGGTTCATTCCTCAAGTGCTTCCTGGCCCACCAACAGGTTTCCATGTTGGTGTCGGGTGCCCAGTGTTGAACCTACCTCCTGCTACCTCTCAGAGTGTGCATTCCCAGGGAGCTGAAAGGGGACCCAGGCCCTTCGACTAATGAAATAATGCAAATGTCCCAAGTGGGGCTTAAGCCTCTGTGTGAAACACTCACCTCGGATTTAAAGTTCTGAATTGCTCCTGTGGAATAGACTACAGCAGACAAAGTAGGGCTTTTCCTACTTACGCCTGGCTTGCCGCCAGTTTTGCTTGAAATACAGAATACCTGATGACACTTGAAAGTGTTTGTCAGGTTTCAGTGTCCATAAAGTGTTTTTATTGTTTTTTGTTGTTGTTGTTTGTTTTGGGTTTTTTTTTTTTTTGAAGCATATTCTCATTCATTTGTGCTTTATTTCTGACAGCTTTTCTTGCTACCTTGAAAAATTGAATTGTTATATCAGATACCTTATAACCCACAAGCCAAAAATAGTTTCTGTCTGGTGCTCTACCAAAAAAAAAAAAGTTGGTCAGCCCAAATCTAGGAAGTCTCATTCTAACTTCTTTTCAGAGCTTATCACTGTAAAGTTCTAATACTGTAGTGTATCACAAAAATGTTGTACCTATGGAAGGACAGTTTTAAATCTATATTATACAGTCTTGGCACAAATAGATGAGTACTAGAATTTCCATTCTAAGTAAAAACAATAGTGGAAGATGGACCAGTTTTTTAAAATACAGATAATTGGCTTAAGACATCCTGTGGTAAATATTAGCTATTATTTAAAAATAATTAGCTGTTACCCTGAGAAAATATTATGTCTCATGTTAATATCACGATGATGTGTTATGAAGCAAAGCTCGTTATATCTTATTTGATTATTGTCATGCAGTCAGTTGAGCTTTTGAGATATTTGTATGGCTTCATGAATTGTTTTTACAATTAGCTTACAGCTACACTAGAAGTTCTTCCAATAATCATTTCATAGTGTCAGTAGACTATGTTGAAGAGAATAAATTATGTGTTAAATTCAAAATTGCAGGTTTTGGTTTTGTTTTTTTTTTGTGTGTGTGTGTGTGTGTGTGTGTGTGTGCCATGAAGTCTTCACTGTGCTGTCAGGGAATCTTTGATCTAAATTAAAATTTGCCATGTCATTGTATTGATTCTTTTTAAGGCATATCATGTAAAGGTTCTGCTTGCTTCATAAGTTGTCATAATTTTTATCTTTTTTTTATTTTGCTGTTTTTTTTTTTTTTAGAAATCATGTTTTCAGCAAATGGTTGTAGTAGGCAAAAAAAAACTAACAATAACGTCTTCAAATACAGATACACATTATTTTTCATCTTTATTGTAGCCAATTTTTGTTTTCTTTTTAATTGTAGACCTTGCTTGCATGTACAAGCTATTTAGTCGTGTGCCAAATGGTTTGAAAACAATGTGTGAATGTATGAGTTCCTATCTGAGGGAGCAAGGAAAAGCCCTTGTTTCTGAGGAAGGAGAAGGAAAAAATCCTGTCGACTATATCCAGGTAAGCAAACAGAAGACTCTTATCATTCTCAGAATATGCTCAAAACAGCAGCTGTGTGCTTTCAACATAATGAAGCCAGTGGTAGACTGACATGTGTAATTTCCTTAGGTATTTTAGAATTTCCTTTGGTATTTATGTGCCTGAGCCAGGCTTAGCTGCTGATTTTTTCATTTAGTAATTTCTCTGATGAAGACCTAGCTTAATAGTCTCTAATTGTTTAGTGTTAAGAAAAATGTACTGTAAAGTGCTTTTTCCTTTAAAAATGTTTGTTTTTAGGAAATTATAGGTAAATATACCCCAGCTTATTTGTGTTTTAATTAAAATAATCAGCTTGTCTGCATCTTTAAGCCTGATTTTCTGCTTGCTTAAGCCGTTAAGTCAACACAGAGGAATGGAAGAAGAGCAGTGAGGGCTGAGTTGAGTTAGTCCATCTCCAGTAGTCACCCCGCTTGTGTAGGGAAGGTGCAGTACTGGGGCTCGTTAGTGCATCTCCGGTAGTCACCCCATTTGTATGGGGGGGTGCAGTACTAGGGTGTGTTAGTCCATCTCCAGTAGTCACCCCATTTGTTTGGGGGGGTCAGTACTAGGGTGTGTTAGTCCATCTCCAGTAGTCACCCCATTTGTATGGGGGGTGCAGTACTAGGGTGTGTTAGTCCATCTCCAGTAGTCACCCCGCTTGTGTAGGGAAGATGCAGAGTAGAAACTAATCATGTTTTAACCTGGAAGTTCAACACTAAATGCATGTATTAATTTAAATTATTATGTATCCTAAATTTATTTGTTTTTTTTGTAAGGGCCTGTTGGATCTGAAGAGTAGGTTTGATCGCTTCCTCCAGGAATCATTTAATAATGACCGGCTGTTTAAACAAACTATTGCGGGTGACTTTGAGTATTTTCTGAACCTCAACTCCAGGTCTCCGGAATACCTCTCATTATTTATTGATGATAAGCTGAAAAAGGGAGTAAAAGGGGTAAGTACTATTGGAATAGAACCTTTTCATGCAGTGGAAAATACTCGAAATTTTATTTGTAGATATAAAATATCAGCAAATTATATAATGTTAAAACCCTGCCTTTTGCCTAAATACATGCTGTAATCTGTTAGAAAATAGTGTAGATAAGGCATTCAGTGTGATCAGAAATACTTGAAATTTCACTTAATGTATAAATAGGAACAATTACCTACCTTTTATTACACACTTTTATGACTGTGCACATTAGCTCTCCTGTAGATGATGAGAGTGATGAAAGAGTGGAGTGGCATTCAGCTTGGTATGTTTAAGCCCTACGTGTTCTGCGACAGAATACCCAAGTGCAGCTTCTGGCTTTGATCCTTGCTTCTAGCTTCCTGTTAATGCAGATCCTTGGGAAGCAATGGTGATGACACAAGCAATTGGGTTCTACCACCAACGTGGAAAACCTTGCATTGTTGGCATTTGAACCAGCAGAAGGGACACTTCTCTGTTTCTCTCTTTTTAAAGGGCTTATTTATTCATTTGAAAGGCTTTAGAGAGGAGGAAGAGACTGAGAAAGCAAGATCTTCCATCCGTTGACTTATACCCCAGATGGTCACAGTGACCAAGGTTAGGCCAGGCCCAAGCAGGTGCTTTTCTCAGACAATTGGCATGGAGCTGAATAGGAATTGCAGTCACTGGGACACAAACCAGCACCTATACGGGATGCCAACCTTGAAGGCAGCAGGACTGACCCACTGCTTCACCATGCCAGTCCTTTGTATCTGTTCCTGCCTCACCTCATCTCTTATATTCTAAGATAAATCCGAACCAGCAACGAGGAAGCTCTCCACCTGGGTGCAGAACACTCCTTTCCGTCATCATCATCTAGCTCTCAAGATCTTATATCAGACAGTGAGTTCTGAGTGTTTTAAGCCATTGATTAAAGAGAACGCTGAGAAAACAGTTGGAAAGCAGACACTGAAGCACATTTAGTTTTTTCAGATGATCTATTTATTTGAAAGATAGATTTAGAATCTGGAAATTTGGTCTTCTGTGTGCTGGCCCTTTTTCCGAGAGGGCGCTTTGGCTGGGTCTAGGCCAGGCCACAAACAGCAGACACATTAGCATAGAGCTGGATTTGAAGTGAAGTTGAAGTTAATTTGAGATGCAGATGGGTTCCTAACCCACTGTGTTAACAACACCAGCTAGCTATAGCATAGAAAGTCAAGTTATGTATATTTTGATTGCTTTTTCTTTAATTTGTTTTATTACTGTCATCACATTCAAAAGCAGGGAAACAGTTTTCATTCAGTGGTTAATTTCTCAAGTGCCAGCAGTAGCTGAGGCTGGACAAGAGGGGATCCATGAGCCTGGGACTCAGTGTTACCTTCCAATGGGTGGCAGGGATCTAAGTACTTAGCCATCCCTTGCTGCCTCTCAGGATGTGTGTTTGCAGGAAGCTGACTTGGAAGTGGAGCTGGGATACAAATTTCAAGTGCTCTGACATGGAATGCAAGCATCCTGAGTGGCCTGTTCACCACCAGGCCAGGTGCTCACCTTGAGAGAAGTGTTATATGTGTGTGTTTCTGCTTCATTACCTACAGAGCAGCCACAGGTTTCCAGGCAGTAAATACAAAAAGGAAGTAAGATCACTGGTAGACACACACAGTCTTTCATCTAAAAGATACCAGACTGAATATAGCTTGCCACGATATTATCTTGCCTCTATTTAAAGGGTAAAAAGTCTTTTTATTGTTTATTGTAACAGATTTTTTCCTGTCTGCCTAAAAAATGTAGGTTTTAAACAGGCTTAAATGAAAAGCTCTGTTCACTTTGTAAATTGTAAATTTATAGAAAGTAAATACTCTAGCTTAAAAAAAAAAAAACTTTTTCTATTGTCCCTTTGAATCCAGGTAACTTGTTTACATGTGTCAGCTAGAAATTTTATTTACTTTCAACTGTTTTGAAACAGATGATCTGGGCTATTTTGTAGAAGTAAATTCTTTTAATTATTTAATTATCATTTGGTTTTGCAGCTGACCGAACAAGAAGTAGAAACGATATTGGATAAAGCAATGGTCCTTTTTAGGTTTATGCAAGAAAAAGATGTATTTGAACGTTACTATAAACAACACTTGGCAAGGAGACTGCTCACAAATAAAAGTGTTTCTGATGACTCTGAAAAAAACATGATATCCAAGCTAAAGGTGAGTCTCTGTAGGATCAGTGGAATGGACACAGTTGAGATCCAACATGTTGTTCTAAGTTAGGCACTTGATTTTCAAGGTTTATTTCAGAAACCAATAAAGATAGATTGCTTTTGAGCAGAACACAGGCTAGATTTGCTCAAGATCTGAGACAGTGTTCTCTGGAATTTGTACTGGTATGAGAGAATATTCTCATTGAGATCTGAAGGTAGAATACGTTTTAATTCACAAAATGTGGTCTGCGGACCACTTGTACCTGAATCACTTACTAGTTAAAAACATAGACCACCTGGTTCTACCTTCCTGGAGGTGTGGTAGCATCTCTGAAAGAGTCTGGAGTTGGGCATTTTAAAATACAGTCCTTGTTTATTAAATATACTCAAACTTGATGATGACAAGCACAGAGCATCTGGTGCAGAGATGCACAAAGGACATTGTTCGGGTTAGTGATCGCGTGCGGTAGCTCGGTTCTCTGTCTACTTTCTCTTTAACAAGTTACTTGTATATATATACTTGTATATGTATATTTGTATATTTTTTCTTCTTCCATAGACTGAATGTGGATGTCAGTTCACATCAAAACTGGAAGGAATGTTTAGGGATATGAGCATCTCAAACACAACTATGGATGAATTCCGGCAGCATCTGCAGGCAACAGGGGTAAGTCTGTTATTTTCTGTTTATATGTCTTGAAATAAGATGTTCTGTCCTGGAGATGTTCATCTGCATAGCAGTAAGTGATCTTGTTTTTTTGAATGTCACTCGCCTCACCATTGGTTATCTACACTTGATCTTAGCCAAAAGGCCAAGAAGCAATACTGTTGGTTATCTAAGTGCATAAAAAATTACTTTTCTGCATATTAAAGGTAATTTTCAACCTCACATTTATGTCAGAAACTTTCGTGCTTCTTCACTTTATCCTCCCCACTTGAAGGGTTGTGTTAGAAATTAAATAAAACAAATTATTCCATTATAATCATTACAGACTATGGAAAGAGTTCTGTGTTTAGCAAGCTCACTTTTCACTTTAACCCAGTATTCTGTGATCGTAGAATAGTTCCTTGACCTTCTTACGGTTAGTGCTCTTATTCTCATTGCTAAGGTCAGCATTTTTGGGCTGCAGTGGTGAAGGTGGTAGATAAATTTAGACTACTAAAATACAGAAATTAGAATGTGAAAAATGTGGTTAGTATTTTGACTCCAGGAAGGTAGTGAACTGTAACTTTCATGGTTCTGAAGTTTATATGTGCCTTTTGGGGATATAATGTTTAACTCCGCCCCCCCTTTTAACTGTGACTCACTTATGTCTTAAGTTTAGCAAATTTAATAATTAAACATTCTCAACACTTTTTATCTCAGTTATAACAGCAGTCTGTAAATACTAGTGTTTACGACAGAGAAGAGTTTGAACAGAGAAGGCATATCTGATAGAAAGTTGGATGAGCAAATACTGAGAATGTCCCAAAATAGATTTTCTTTTTAGATGATTTAGAAATATGTATTTGTGTCTAATACACTCATAAGTATGTATTTGTATGTGATACACTCATAATTTTATTAAGCTTTAAATTTGGTGTAAATATTTTTTTCCACTAATCTTACACGTATTGAGAGCTCCAAGGAGATAGCTGTTGAATCCATCTAGTAAGCAAATGTTGAGGGATGAGATCCAAACCCTTAATGATTTAAAAAAAAGGTATCTGAAAGGTAGAACGACAAAGGGAGAGGAAGGAGAGGTTGATCCTACATCTGCTGGTGCACCTGTTGAAAGCCAGCAGAGAGGGGCCAGGCCGGGGTAGAGCCAGGAGCTGGAAGCTCCATCCAGGTCTCCCACACAGAGCTTGGACCATCACCCACCTCCTTTCCAAGGAGCATCAGCAGGATTGCGGTGACACCGGAGGAACTTTTTCCCCTGCTGCACAGTAGACCATCCCAGTTGCTAATTTTTTGGTGTCTAAATACCTCTTTAGTGCCAGAAAAATTACTGAGGTAGTTAGGAAGAGGAGAAACTGACCAGTACATAATAGTTCTTCGGGTTCTCTGCCATTTTACCCCATTTAACAGTTCTTGCACTCTCTAGGTGCTAGTGCTAAGTATTGCTGTAGACCCTGAGCACACCATGAGCATTGCTTTGATGGAGGAGACTTCGAATAAGTAGAGAGCTGTGAGGGTGGGAAACACCTCGCTTTAAAAACAACGGAGCACAACTTTTTCCCCAATTCTTTGTTTTGTTTTGTTTTGTTTTGTTTTGAAGATTTATTTTGTTTTATTGGAAAGTCAGATATACAGAGAGGAAGACCTTTGGTCCATTAATTCACTCCCTAAGCGGCCGCAACGGGCCGGAGCTGTGCTGATCTGAAGCCAGCAGCCTCTTCTGGGTCTCCCCCATGGGTGCAGGATCCCAAGGCTTTCGGATGTGCTCAGCAGCTTTCCCAGGCCGCAAGCAGGGAGCTGGATGGGAAGCGGGGCTGCTGGGATTAGAACCAGTGCTCATATGGGATCCTGGTGCGTGCAGGACAAGGACTTTAGCCACTAGGCTACCATGCTGGGCCTGTTTTGCTCCATTTTTATGTATTTGAAGGAAGGTAGGTCATAGGGAAGAGGCTAAAGCCAGGAGTCGCCAACAGTCCAGGTGGTCTGTTTGAGTGACAGGGACTTGGTACCTGAGCCGTTGCTGCCACATCACCAGAGTGAGCCTTACAGGATGCGGCATGTCATGTGGGATCCAGGGGTTTCAGGCATCGTCCTAAGTCTACCCTTGAGAAATGGTTTTGAGGGGCCCAGCGGCGTAGCCTAGCAGCTGAAATCCTCACCTTGAACGTGCCAGGATCCCATATAGGCGCTGGTTCTAATCCCGGCAGCTCCACTTCCCATCCAGCTCCATGCTTGTGACCTGGGAAAGCAGTTGAGGACGGCCCAAGGCTTTGGGACCCTGCACCTGAGCGGGAGACCTGGAAGAGGTTCCTGGTTCCCGGCTTCGGATGGGCGCAGCACCGGCCGTTGTGGTCACTTGGGGAATGAATCATCGGATGAAGATCTTTCTGTTTCTCCTCCTCTCTGTATATCTGACTTTGTAATAAAAATAAATCTTTCGAAAAAAAACTGTTTTGAGGAATGACTTAAAGGAGATTAATGAACAAGGTATATGGGTGAAATGTCTTCTTAGGCTGTGAAATCATAGGGAGATCACATGCACGTTACTTAAAGGTAGCTGGGTTAACCCATCCTCCCGGTTCTGTAAGAGTTCCTCACCTTGAGGCAAGTCATCGTTAACTGTGTGCACTGTCTCGGGTTTCTGTTTGGTTTCTTTATAGTGGAGCAGTCGTTTAGTAGATACTTGTAAAGAGAGCTATGGAATGCCTTTTCATTTTTGTTAACAACTCCCTGCACTCCTTTAGAAATCTGTGTTGCTGAATCATCCAGGCAAATAAAAATGGAATAATAGTTTATAAACAGTTATGAAAATAGATTACTTACCAAATGTATTTTATTCTTGTCCCTTTTGATATGATTTTATTATTTTCTTAAAATTCTGGTTTTTTTGAGTGAAGAAAATATCTATGATTTTAGCGTGAATTTGGAGGAATAGTTACTCAGTGAACAAACGGTGTGTGTTGTTTGGAGCACTGGATCTGTGGTGTGCTATGCAGATATTAGAACATCAGCCACATTTGAACCATAAAGCTTCAATCATTGTCATTGCAGCTGCTGTGAGATATTAGAAACTTGTCGTTTATCTGTTCATACGATAAAAAACACTTTAAGATGGGTGACATTATCCTACAGTTTTCTTTAAATTGATATTAAGATAACCCTCTGCCATTTTATCTTAGAAAAAAAAAAGGAAAGCTTATGGCATCCAGTCTTTCATTTGTTGTTTACGTCTGAGAACTCTGGCTTGTCTAGTGTCCTAGACAAATAGGTAGACCTAACCTCTGCGAGTGTCTGCTATGTGCTCGTGCTCCATGTGGGACCTACGTTTTGGCACAGATACATTGAGAAATCTGAACACTGTATCTGCATGGAGTGGGTTACAGAACCTGGTTAATTTGGGGGATACTCTTTCTGATTTGTACAGGTGTCCTTAGGCGGTGTTGACCTCACAGTCCGGGTGCTTACAACAGGGTATTGGCCCACTCAGTCAGCCACACCAAAGTGCAACATCCCACCAGCACCAAGACATGCTTTTGAGATATTCCGAAGGTAAACTCAAGTCATATTTGTGTTTTGAGTATAAATCATTGTCCAGTGTAAGTGTGCTTCTTTTATCTTTTAATACCTAGCAAAGTTGGTGAAGTGTCAACCTCCTTATTTTTCTCTTTCCTCTTCTGTCAGAAGTTGAAATTTAACTCAACTCCTCAGGTTTCCTTTAATTATGAAGATTATCTTTAAATATGTTTGAGTTGTCCTGTAATTGTAATATCATATGCATAAATTATATGATTATAAATACAAATTTTCTGTGTTTACTGAAGGTTCTACCTAGCTAAACACAGCGGCCGTCAACTCACACTCCAGCATCATATGGGTTCTGCAGATCTCAATGCTACTTTTTATGGGCCAGTTAAAAAGGTAACTGGTGATGGTGTGAGTGTTCTAAATTACTGAAAAATACTCCTTAGAGCTGATTATGATTTCTGCCAAATTTGATACATCTTTATTTACTGTTTACTACCAATCAAATAGTAAAAATATTAAAATATTGGCTTGCTATATTTCTTTTTTCCCTCAGTAGCTTCATTTGAAAGTGGAAAGACCACGTCAGTAGTCTTTAAGGAAAAATACTAGTATGATTATGCGTTTTATCTGTCAAATGGAACCTAAGACGATACTGCAGAAAACAGTAGAGTGTAGGTTGAGTTGAAAATGTACAATACTTAGTTGTGATAAAGGCAAACCAGGAAAGTTAACACTTGAGATTTGTGACATATGCAAATGTTCTGTCATTAAAAGCTTAGTCCTGCTTTGGTGATATTAAAGTACTTGGTGTGTTCTAAGTTCATCATTATCATTTGTGAGTACTGTTAAAATAATTTCAAATTTAAGATATAGGGAATTGGTAATTAATTATTTTCTCACAAACATTACAGTTTTCACAATGCAGGGGGAAAGGATAGTCCTTAGTGAGGACTTTATATTTGTATGCTTATGTATATATACACATGAAATACTTTTAATGGGTTTTTCTTTCGATACAAGAATATGTTAAGTAGTATTGTTGAGAAGGGATAGAAATGGCAGGACTTTCCCGAAACATACTATTAAAATTACCAGGGAACAGTTGTGTCTTACTTGTGTTTTTAATTTTTTAAATAAACAGGAAGATGGATCTGAAGTTGGTGTTGGAGGTGCTCAAGTAACTGGCTCTAATACACGGAAGCACATTTTGCAAGTTTCCACTTTCCAGATGACCATATTAATGCTTTTTAATAATAGAGAAAAATATACATTTGAGGTATGGATTGTGATTGTGCACATTGTAAGCAATTTTCTTTCGCTCACTATCTGAGTCTCATTTGGGTAACTTCCAAATGATCTCCCTGAATATCTATAAATTTATATTTGATTGGATCACATTTATTGAGTTGTTTCATTTTGTTGCATTTTTCTAAAACGTTTTTTATTTTACTATGTTTTATTTCATGTAGTAAAACATACTGCACAAAAACACATGGTTTAATGTGGCTTAAACCTGCATGCGTCACAATCAGAAACATTACCCCCATTCTTTGTCTTCCTTCTCTTCTGTCCTCTTCCTTCTACCTGTCAAAGAAATAAGTAAATCTTACAGACAGTGCTGTGGTGCAGTAGATGAAGCTGCTGCCCGTGACACTAGAGGGCCAGTTCTAGACCTGCCTGCTCTGCTCTGCTGCAGCAGTGGGTGCATGACGGCCTAAACTGGAGCGCTTAGTTCCCTTGGGGCATTGTGGGATGGAGTTCAGCCCTGGACTTCAAAGCCACCTGGGGCAGCAATCAATAGATGGGTGACCTCTTTGTTCCTGTGTTTCTCCTTTCTCTTTGCCATTATGCCTTTCTAGTAAGTAATATCTCTGAAAAAAACAAAGTTTCTTGGTACCATTTTGCAGTTAATTCCTTGCTGCCTCCCTAGGCAGCCAGTGATCTGGTTTATATCACTGTCGGTGTTTGCCTTTCCAAAAGCTCCTCTAAGTTGAGATCATACAGCGTGTGTTTCTGTGTTCATCAGTTGTGTAATTTGAGGTTCATTCCCGTGGCTGCATGTGAGGGATTAGTAGTCCATCCTTTTTTACTTCTGAGTGATCTTTTGTTATATGAATAGTTTCATTTTCTTTGTGAATTCATCTGTTGATAGGCAGCTTAGTTGTTAAACATTTAGGATTATTAATAGAGCTATGTTTAAAAGCTGCCAGACTGGGGCCCAAAGCAGGTGTAACATTTTACATTCCTACTGTCAGTGGAAAAGAAGTTCAGTTGCTCCATGACCTCCACAATGTTTATAACTAGTCGTTTTGGTGGGTGTGTGTTCAGTTGTGTCTTAACTGTGGGTGAATGATGTTAAACCTCTTTGGTGTGCGTATACCATATAAATATTGCATTTGGTAAAGTATCTACTTATATTTATGGCATTGTTTTCTTACTAACTTGTAAACATGCTTTATAAATTCTGGTTCTAAATAATTTTTAGTTATGTGTACTGTGACTTTTCAGTTTGCCATTGTTCTTAATGGTGTCTGTGAAGAACATGGTTAATACTGACAATACAGTGGATCACTTTCTTTTATAGCTTATGCTTTTGAGGGTTAGAAAGTTATTGCCTATCCCAAAAGTTTTTCTTTTACGTGGATTATAATTTTAGTTTGACATATAAGTCCACGATCATTTCTAAATTAATTATTTGTATGATTTGTATTAAGGATTAAGAATTATTCTTCCACACAATTATTTAATTTTCTCTCATTTTTTGTAGAAAACTTTTTTTCCTCGTTGCAATACCTTTATTAAAAGAAATAAATAAATTGCTCTAAAGAAGTTGATCTGTTTCTGCAGTGTCTGATCTCATTCCTCAGTTTCTTGTCTACCCTTAGGCCAATTTTACATTTTCTTAATAATAGGATCGTTTCCTTTGTCTGGCCTTCGTGTTCATTGTTAATTACGTTTTCAAGTTGAGTGTGATTTGAATCCCAATAATTGAATAACTTACTGGAACATTGTATTTTCAAACAGATGAAACCAAATTGTCTCTAGCAAGTTTTTTTTTTACAGTATGTGTAATCTGCTGCTCTCAGACAGTATGTAAGCAAGATAGGCCATTTGATTAATGCTAGACTTGACTTTCACAGTCCATTAAAAATAGCAAAAAACAGGGCCCGGCACCATGGCCTAGCAGCTAAAGCCCTCACCTTGAACACTTCTGTATCCCATATGGGCGCCAGTTCTAATCCCAGCAGCCCCACTTCCCATCCAGCTCCCTGCTTACTGCCTGGGAAAGCAGTCGAGGAGAGCCCAAGGCCTTGGGTTCCTGTTCCTGCGTGGGAGGCCCGGAGGAAGTTCAGGGCTTTTGACTTTGGATCGGTGCAGCACTGGCTGTTGCCGTCACTTGGGAAGTGAATCATCGGACGGAAGGTCTTCTTCTGTCTCTCCTCTCTGTGTATCTGACTGTGCAAGAAAAATAAATCAATCTTTAAAAAAATTAGCAAAAAACATAGGGTAAGCAAAAGTACAAATTCATTTAAAAAAAAATTATTAGAATTGCTAGAGGTTTTAGTGGTTAAAGTTTACTTTGCCTTGCCCAAACAGCTTGTTAGTAGGTGAAAAACAAAATTACATATAAAATTTCTCTATTGTTTAAAATCTAAGCTAAGTTGGGAACCAAAAGGCTGAGCATGACGTATAAAGAAGCCATGCTCATGGCCCCGAAGTTTGTAGTCTGCTCACCCTTCCAGTCCAGCCATTGTGAAAAGTACATGGGTTTAGTTGTAGTTTTATTGTGTTAGGCTGCACTCTACTATTTTATTAACCAACTCTTTTTACAGAAATCCTCCAGTGAGTCTAATTATTGTCAATCTTGTGAAATTTCAGGAAATTCAACAAGAGACAGATATCCCTGAAAGAGAGCTTGTCAGAGCCCTCCAGTCCCTCGCCTGTGGTAAACCAACACAGCGGGTTCTCACCAAAGAGCCCAAGTCAAAGGAGATAGAGAATGGTCACATTTTTACAGTCAACGATCAGTTCACCTCCAAACTACACAGAGTCAAGATTCAAACAGGTATCTGGAATTGTCTGTGCCCTCTTTAAAAAGATGTGTGTGTGTGTGTGTGTGTGTGTGTGTGTGTGTGTGTGTGTTGGTTAATTTTTTTCCTTTCTTTCTGATAAACATTCTGATCTGTTGTTTTCTGTTAAACAAAAAGTAGTAATAATAATGCTTTTCTAGTGCTGTGTGAGATTCTTTGGTATAAGAATGAAAGCAACTCTTGTTGACAAATGTGTGTATCAAAATGTGATTGAAACGAAGTACAATAATATTATGAGAATTATTTCATAGAATGAACAAGATATTTTTCTTGTTTCTCAGCAGATGAAATGTTACAAATGTTAATACTTTTTTTAGTCATTGGAAGTGTGTTTTTAAAGCTCACAAATTTTTCTTGAGTTACATAAAATTTGGTTTTTAAATATAGCTGTTGGTGTCTTGATTAAGTATGGAAGATTAAAAATCTTAAAGCATGTGGTATCTGAATTCTAAATATAGAAATGTTACCATATTGAATGGTTATTAGTATATATAGACTTCTAAGTTTATAATAAAATCATTGACTATAATTCTAACATGTTAGGTATGTGTTTTCTGTGTATTTAAGAGGAAAAAGATACTCTGCTCTTGGTGATAGTTGAAAATAATGTACATTATTGCCTGCTGGCAAAGTTACTATCTCAGGAAGCGTCTTAGCAGTAATTTACCCAGTACAGCTAATGTATCTGTATAGTAAAACCATATTAAAGTAAATTAGAAAATCATTTCTTAAACTTACTATAGTTTTTCTAATTTAAAAAGTACAAATTTACATTTACTTTGTATATTAGTGAAAGATGTCTTTAAAAAATTAATGTTAAAAATATATAGTTCTTATGCATACTGTATTGGTTTTGCTGCTTGACCTTTTGGGATGTTTTGGTGGAGTGTAGCCGGGTGCATGTGCTCTGTAAGCCACAGTACTGTCTGCTCAAGCCTGATCCCTTTGTCTGGAACTGCAAACTGAATCATTGTGATCTCACAGCCCAGGTTGACCCATAGCTTTGTGCATAGAAATACTTTCAAAATGGAAAATGATTTTTTTCCATGTAGTGCCTAGTATATGAGCTTGTCATTTTGGGCAGATACAGTTTTTGGATTTGTAATTTTTAGTGCTCATTTGTATCCTGGGTTTCGTGGAAAATGGAAGCACTTCAGGATGTACACACACAAACATATATATGGGTTACCTAAATTCAGCCTGCTTTACCATGGATAAGTACCTTTGCAATCCCTGTTGCAAAAAAAAGATCTATGGAGTTTTAGTTTTTTGTTTTGTTTATAGCATTTAGGTGTGATTAAAATAAAAACACAGTTTTCTATGATAGTTTTGCTAGATCTCAATTCCAGTTCCACTGATTAAATTCTTCAAGGAAGTACTTTTTATTTGAGGATGGTTTTTAGATGATTTTGGCTCCGTGTCATATTTGATTTAGTGAGTATTTTCTCTTTGACATCAAATATTGTGACCACATTTTCTGTAAACTTTTTGAAGATCATTCATGTGTGAATTTGTTTTTCCTTGCAGCAAAATAAACATCTTTGAATTCCCTTTTTCACAATACGAGCCATTAAAATTTTGCCATATATATTTTCTTTCCTCCTTTTCTTTGTATATTTGTTATAGCGTTTGAGATTGATTTGCAAGCATCCACATTTCAGCAGATGCTTAGACTCTGTTATTGTCTAATACATATAGTCTGTGTGTCGTATTTCTATGTCTTCAGTTGTCTCAGAGATTGCTTTTGTAGCTTGTGTTTGACTCTAGGATTCTGTGGTGGCTTCCACATTATATATTTCATTTAATGTTTTTACTTGCACATAGCCTAAATTGGTGTTATGACATGACTTTTTTGAGGGAAAATTATTGTTTCTGCAAAGAGTATTTTCATCTTTTTTTTTTCTGTGATACTAGTAATTACACTGCGAAATGACACTGAAAGCAGTGGTTTTAGTTGAGAGATTCTGATTGATTAGAAATAGCCAAATGGATGTGTATCCAGAATGCCGCTCTGCAGTGTGGTCTGTTCTCTTGCCTTAGCAGTGTCCCATTGCTTCTTGTGTGGTTACCCAATATCTGCCTCTACATCCATTTCCTTTTAATGAACCAAGGCATCAAAAATCAGCTGTCAGTTTTCTTTGCTACTTCAGTTAGAGGAAAGTTATAAGAAAGAAGAACTTTTTAAAAGTCTGTTGGGGAGGAAAGTAAGATGCTACAAAGCATGAATGACTTTGTGATAATGAGATAGTGACATAAAGAACTACATCACAAGAACTTGTTAGATGATAGAATCATAGGAAATTTTGGTAAGAACAAATGAATTGGCTGGGAATTTCCAGCAGCTGATGTTCTAGGGGGGACTTTTTAATTCTTTAGCCAGCAGAATCTTGGCATTATGTATTCTTTCCGCAATAATGCTGAAGAGGTTGCAACTTCTTTAATTTGATTAGCAGCAGGTACTCACCTGTCTGATTGGGAGCTGAGGTGGTACAATATTAGTTGACCTGTGGGAATCAAATAACAAAAACTGTTCACTGTTAATTTTACTATTAAAGAAATCCAGCTACCAGTTTTCTTCCATGAAAAGAATTGTTACATTTTACAGAAAGAAGGCTTATTTTATTGCTATAGAATTTAATTTCTGATTAAAAAAATTTTTAAACTTTACTGTTTGAATTAATATGTGTATGTATATATTCAGAACTTGAAATTCATTTTTTGTATAATACTAAATTGCTTGTCAACCAAATGTTTTCATTGTGATTATCATAAATGCCTTTATTTCTATTTTAGTTGCTGCCAAACAAGGCGAATCTGATCCAGAAAGGAAAGAAACAAGGCAGAAGGTAGACGATGACAGAAAGCACGAGATAGAAGCTGCTATAGTGCGGATAATGAAGTCTAGGAAGAAGATGCAGCACAACGTTTTAGTAGCAGAGGTGAGGCCATGTCAAGATCAGGGTGATAAACAGATTATTAACCTACGCCAAGAAAAATACCATTTGCAGCTGATTTTTAAAGTTGAGATTGAAAGACTAATCTCAACTTCTCACATAAAAAGCATATCATTTAATAATTAAATACAAACCTCTACATCAAACATGGATATACTTTTAGAACTAATAATGCTTTGTAGTGAAAACAAAAAGGTTATTTTATATCAAGAATAAAGTTTACTTCTACTTAACAACTACTACTTCTAAAATATTTAGCTTTACCATTTATTGAGTTTTAGTTTTCTGAATTAGGAGCCTAAGAAGACCCTCCTAAAGTTTCCAGCTTGAGTGACTGGGTGGATGTTGGTCTTCATTGGGAAAGGATAGTATACTGCTGTAATTAATATATTGGCTGATAACATTTTGTAGAAGTTAACATTATTTTATTTTAGAATATCTAGAGCTGGAATCCATCAGGCCAGTTAGAAGTCTGAAGTAATTGAGGGCTACAAGTTGAATGGGATTTCAGTATATGGGGATGAAGTTAGAGCCATGTGCTTGGGTTAAACTGTTCAGGGCTAGCATGAAGAGAAAGAAAAGGAACCTGCATGATAGGCCCGTTCAACATGATTTACAAAGCAGCAAGAATCGCAGCTGTCAGAGAGGGAAGGCCTTTCAAGCCTTGTTTTCAAAATGTGCTTCCTGGATCAGTTACATGAGCATCACTTGGGAACTTATTAGAGCCAGATACCCATGCTCCACCTAGGCATCTTTGCAGATATAGTCCAGCATTCTGGTTTTAACAAACATTGCCAGTAATTCTGAAGTATGTTCTTAGTTGAAAACTGATGCAGAAGGAAGCAAAATACAGTAAGACAACATCACTTTGCCAAGGAGGAGAATTATATAAAGTGGGTGAGTGGGCAGTAGTTTTAAAAATGAAAAGACCAAGATGCGTTAACACTTAGCATGTAATGACAGTTGGATAACTGGTTAGCTTTCCCAGCTAGTTTCACTTGGACTGTAAAACTGGGTAACCATGGGAGAGCTCTGAAAGCAGATGAGGAAAACCACCAAATGGCTTGTCTTGAAATACTGAAATATTGTACCATACTGTAATGAGTTGAGGGGTTCTAGGTTCTTTTTTTCCTTCTCCTCCCCTACCCCCCTAGTGGGAAGATATTAAGCATTTCATTTGAACGATTTGGAGGGATTGTTTATTTTGATTGGGAAAGCAGATTTCAGAGAGAGGGAGAAGCAGAAAGATGTTCTATCTGCTAGTTCACTCCATAAGTGGCTGCAATGGCTGAAGCCAGGTGCTTCCTCCAAGTCTCCTTGTGGGTGCAGGGTGCCAAGGCTTTTGTCTGCTTTCTCAGGCTACCAGCAGGGAGCTGAAAGGGAAGTGGAACTGCCAGAACACAAACTGGCACCCATACAGGTTCCTGGCACACTTGCAAGGTGAGAATTTAGCCGTGGAGCTATTGCACCAGGCCATGTTTTTACTCTAAGGAATTCTTGAAAACAAAAGGAGGAAAAATAAGATGAGGGAATAGTACCGAAGCCTAGAAAATAAAGATGAGTTTTGTAAGGAGGACCAAGGTAACTAGACATGTTAACATACTATTAGTAAATATACCTTTTTCTGAGAGCTCAGGACAGGATACATGGATGTACACAAATGATGGATTGACAAAATTATGCATAGTTTGGGAATTCAAAGAATTTCACATTCACATGTCCCTTTCCCTGCATAAAATATTAGATAAGGTAGTATATGATAAAGGGCTTAGATTGAAGAGTTTAAGGAGCTTGTCAGAAATTTGAAATAGTATGTAAATGAATAGTACTCAAGAATTTGGTGGACTTTAGTACAATAAATTTGTGTTGTCATTCTTGATGAGAAGTTGACAATTTTTTTGTAAATGGGCACTTATAGCATGACATACACATGAAGTGGCCATGTGTCAGTGACATTTTACAAACAGGCGCGAGGTTGTGTGTATCATGATTGCGGTTTACTTCGTGCCTGTTCTACACAAATGATTTAAAAACCACACTTTTGCACAGTAAGAAAACCTAAATGAGGTGATAAATATAGAAGATAAATTTGATCTCAGGGCGATTATGGAATAAGACCGCAGGGATCCAAGTTGAAGGAATGATTGTGAATGCAGTTCAGGCCCCATAGAGAAGGAGGTTAGGTCAGAAGAAAACACCACATGCCAGAAAGAAAAAGAATGAAGATCTCAGAAGAGTTGATAGCAAGCTTGTTGATATTAGGGTGGTACATTTTAGTTTTTAAATGAACTGCTGAAGTTCCGGATTTCATAGAATTATTAAATCCTTGGGCTTTGGGAAATGAACTGATTAAAAGTCAAAGAAAAGTTGCAACAGGCCAATGGGTGGTTTGCAAGAGGTTAGGTTAATGGAAAGAACACAGACTGAAGTCAGAGGGTTAGGATTCACTGTAGCTTTCTTTGCTGCTTGTTCTATAAAAAGGCATCCTACTTTGTGGCACTTGTGCCTGTGTGTGTTTGTGTGTGTGGGACACACACACCCACATATAGAATAACTAACAAGTAGTGTATAGGCTCTGGCTGCTGCCATAGGTGTGTGTGTTTATTTTTTTTAACCAATAACATGATACTGCGGATTCTGACAGCAGTTGCAGAAATGAGTAATAGCATAATTGCGTGCTGTGAGAGGGCATTATTGAAAGATTGCATTTGTTAACTCATGTTGAAGAGTTTCCCAAGGCTAGTGAGTGGTACAGAGCTGAAATCTGAAGCCAAGTAATCCTAGTCAAGGGTGGTGATCCTAAACACATTATGGTACCCAGTTCTGAGAACAGTGCCAAAATGGCAAGTTGTAGGGTAATTTAACTAGAATGCTCATATCAGTTCATTCCTTCCGATCCACTCTGTTCACATACATGACAGAATGCATTTTGACATGAAGTATATTCTAAATAAAACCTTTTAAAATTTTCTCTTTTTTTAAGATTTATTTTGATTTTTTTTAAACATTTATTTATTTATTGGAAAGTCACATATACAGAGAGGGAGGAGAGACAGAGAGGAAGATCTTCCATCCGATGATTCACTCCCCAAGTGAGCGCAACAGCCGATGCTATGCCAGTCCAAAGCCAGGACCCAGGAACTTCTTCTGGGTCTCCCACGCGGGTGCAGGGTCCCAAAGCTCTGGGCCATTCTCAACTGCTTTCCCAGGCCACAAGCAGAGAGCTGGATGGGAAGTGGGGTTGCCAGGATTGGAACCAGTGCCCATATGGGATCCTGGGGCGTTCAAGGCAAGGACTTTAGCTGCTAGGCCATGCTGCCGGGCCCAAGATTTATTTTGATTTTATTGGAAATTCAGATACACAGAGAGAGGGAGAGACAGAGGAAGGAGGAAGATCTTCCATCAGATCGTTCACTTCCCAAGTGGCAGCTATGGCCAGAGCTATGCCAATCCAAAGCCAGGAGTCAGAGCTTCTTCTGGATGTCCCATGCGGGTGCAGGGTCCCAAGGTTTTGGGCCGTCCTTGATGCTTTCCCAGGCCACAAGCAGGGAGCTAGATGGGAAGTGAGGCCTCTGGGATACAAATCAGTGCCCATATGGGATCTTGGCACATGCAAGGCTTTAGCTGCTAGGCTACAGTGCCAGGCCTAAAATTTTCTATATTTTTAACTTTGGAAGTTAATATCTGAATCTTAAAGTGATAGAATAGTTCTGGTTAAAGTTAAGGATTTGTGTGTATATGGAAACATGAAGAAATTTTTCCGGTAGAAATGTTTTATATATATATATATATATATTTATTATTGCTTTTTAGGTAACTCAACAGTTGAAGGCTCGATTCTTACCAAGCCCAGTTGTTATTAAGAAACGTATTGAAGGACTAATTGAAAGAGAATATTTGGCACGAACACCTGAGGATCGCAAAGTATACACATATGTAGCATAAAATGCGTCCAGATATTTGATTTACTCTTGAACTGTACTCTTCGCATGGACTGGGAAGTTCTTTTAAATCATTACTGTTAAGACGACCATCTCTTCTATTAAATTGCAGTACATGTTCTAGACCATTCAGATCAAGCCTTTACTCCCTTGGAGAGTTTCAACATCAGTTGATTGAGCTTCAGGCTTTACAACGTTATCCCTGTAGAGATCATCTTTACAGTTCCTCGGGAAAATGTGAATGTGCCGCGTTTTGTTTTCAATACTGTATGAAAACAGGAAAAAATAAAACAAAATTTAGAATACAGCTCATTAAAATAAAATTGTTGAATTTCATTTCCCCAGGTCTTCAGTGTTGATGTAAATGTGTTTCTGTAGTGTTGCTTAGCACTTTGCGCATAGTGTAAGTTGGGTAACAGAAACAGCAAAAGAAATGCAGAATTCCCAATTCTCTTGCTCTGCTTAAGACATTTCTTTAGCTAGCTCTTAATTTAAAAGTTTGATAAATATACAAAGACCCAGGCATACAATTTAAGCATGCTTTATCTTACCACTTGCACTTACTAATCTTATAGCCTTATGACCGGGAACTTTTGTTTTGGGCTGAATATACCCTGAGTTGGTTTTTCCTATTGTAATTTGAGACTTCCCAAATTAAGTCTTAAAATGATTAGGTTTTGTTCTGACTTATTTCTAGAGAAAGAAAATATTTTAGTATGTATAAATTGTACAATACTTTTTGCTGTTGTACTCACTGCTGATAGTGGATTGTATAGGGTGATGTTTTTATTTCATTTATTGTAGACAAAAATAAATGAATTTAGTATACACATACCCACTAATTCAAGTATGTCAGAGCACAAAGTTGGCAGCTGGTTATGTTTAATTCAGCCCCCTTTGAAAAGCACATATAGTCTGTACTTTGTTAATAAATATTTTAGGTTCCCTCCTCCCTAAATATATATTTTGTGAAACTGTGGTACACTATCAATTTTTGTTTAAAAATGCAATAAATATGATTACCTTGATAGTTAAAAAAAGAAACTTCAATTCTTGCAGCTGTGTTTTGGAAAGTGATTAAGCAATATTTATCAAACCTGATGACTCTTGGATGTTTAGCTCTTATCCTCCAAAGAGTCATCGTTTCATGTTTTCAGAGATGGCTCAATGCCGAAGAGTGCTGTCAGTTATCCTGTGCTTCCAGCTTCCACCAATGTTTACCTGATTGATCTGCCAACGATTATAGTTTATTTTAACTTCAGAGTATTTTTATCTTTGGTTTTATTTAATTTTGTTTAATTTGTTTTCATAAGATAGTGTATCTGATGTAATTGGGGCATACCACTATAGATTTCTGTTGGATAGAAAAATGAAATGTTGCTGATAATTTCAAGTAACTGGCCCTTCATTGACTTTCGATGCTGTTTCGTACATTTATTAGAGTGTATGTCTCGGAAGATGATTTCTGTTTAAACTTATGGTCAAGTTACAACAACTGAATTCTAATATGGATTAAAAACTCCACATAAATATTTTTCCCCTTGCGTCTTGGATTATACTTTTATATTCACAAATATACTTCCATTGCATTAAGTTTTTTCTCTGTATTGTAGAATTATGCTCTTGATCTCTACATTTTCCACTTTTATATCATGCAATGAAGAGGCCGGTGAGAACTGTCATAAACTCAGGACACTTCACCATGCAATGTCAGTCACTGCGACATGGAAAACGTGAAGGGTTTATTTCACTTTCTGAATTTGACGTAATTGAAATTTCCTCTGATGGTAAGATGTTTATCTGTAGGAAAGTATTGTATTTCAGGCTTGAGAGTTCCTTGTACTGCTCTTAGTTCCAAATTAAATTGTGTTTTAACAGCTTGAAAACATAGTGACAGCTGAGATTGTACCAAATTACTAAATAGGAAAGATATAAAAACAAGTAACTTGAAATATCCTGAAGGAAACATTAAACAAGGATTTACTTGTGTAATGCTTTAAAGTTTATAAAGTTAACTTTTTCCTGGTTTCAGTTGTGGCTGTGTAGATCAAATCCAGAATTAAGAAGCAAGACTTGTTAGTTTTGTAACACAGGTCTGATGGTGTTTATAATTCTAAATGCTTACAAATGCATGAAGATAGTTTTCTGAATTGCAGTTTGAGTGGTTGGGAAATGCTGGTGTCTGCTATGTTGAAATTTGGAACAATTAGGCCATGACAACAACTCTGTTTTAGTTTATTATTTTAGCTCCCAAACTTGTAACAGGAAACAGCTTTGACCTTACTTTCTTAGGGATCATTGATGGTACTTTCAATTTTTAGTATTTTAATATAGAAGAATGATACCTCCTAACCATTCATTAAGTACTGTCAGTGTGAATGAATTTTGGGAGAATTTTAACAAGGGTTCAATGCATAGTTATCCAACTGCAAAACTGATGTGATCTCTGTTCAGAAATTGTCAAATTGTATCTGTTAACCATTTTCAAAGCCAGGACAGTGTTTATTTAAAATTGTTGTGTTATGTGAAGATTGAAAATTCATTGTGACTAGGGAACACACAGCCTCACATAATAAAAAGTGGTTGTGACTGTGAGGATTCTTCATGTCAGTGAATTCAAAAGGGAGTGGGGGAAGGGATGCATGCCTCCAAAGGATGGGCTAGAGTCTGCTCTAGTTTTGTAGGCATAAACATGGATCTCTTCCAGGCCACTACCATACTGCTAGGCTGCCTCTGAATCCTCGTCAAAGTGAAGTTCTGTTGATGTTTTGTTAGCACAGAATGTTGAATACCAACAAAGACTTGTGTGGAAACCAGTGATTTTAAATTATGCGTATGTTTCTAGTGTCTACCCACCATCTCAGGCTTCTAAATAGTATTTATGTTCTCAGTTTGGAAAATAATTTTAGTATGTTAAATGCAGATCATACTTTCTATTTACAGTCTTTGAGAATCAATTACTTTGGATAACTAGTATTGCAGAATTTTACTTTGCCAATCTACTGTAATTTATGTCTTAATTTTTGTAACCTAATTTTTCATAAATTATATATACTGTTCTTAAAAGGAAGAAAAGCTATTATGTATCATTTTTCCATCACTCATTTTGCTGTTAGAACATAATAACTTTGAATCCTATTGATTGAAATGTTAAAACATTTCAGGGTAGTGAACAACAGGTCACTTCCAGTCCTCAAAACAGAAATAATTAGAAACGTTAAGCTATAGTGAGATGCATATCATTTGTTATATGCCTTTCTGAATGCTTTGCCTGTACGCAGATGGTTGCGTAAGTTTGGCTCTATGAAAGGAAAAACCACTAGCCCAGTGTTGTCCAAGGTTGTTGTTAGAAGCTTCAGGGCAAGGAGTTGGCATGTATGTTGAGTCTGGCTTCGGATTCCTAAGCTACGATTCCTGTGTTGCAAACTGACAGGCCTGTTCACTTAAATGAAGTGTAGGACAGGGTGATGCGTGAGCATCTCGGTGAGGACTTTATTCGTGTGGCTGTATAATAGCTGCTGCCAGCTTTTGGCAGGAAGGGAAGAGCAATTGTAGTGGCTGTTACGCTGGATAGAGGCCCCCACCCCTTGTTTAAAATTTGTTTTCATTGGACCTGGGCACAATAGCCTAGTGGCTAAAGTCTGATTTAAACACGCCGGGATCCATCTGGGCATTGGTTCTAGTCCTAGTGGCCGCACTTCCCACCCAGCTACCTGCTTGTGGCTTGGGGAAACAGTCGAGAACAGCCCAAAACCTTGGGACCCTGCACTCACGTGGGAGACCCAGAAGAAGCTCCAGGCTCCTGGCTTTGGATCAGCTCAGCTCTGGCCATTGCAGCCATTTGCGAATGAATCATCAAATGAAAGATCTTTTTCTGTGTCTTTCCTCTCTGTATATCTGACTTTGCAATAAAAATAAATAATAAACCTTTTAAAAAGAAAAGGTTTAAACAGCAAAAAAAAAATTTTTTTGTTTTCATTTAAAAGGTTGATTTACAGAGTGAAGGAAAGAGGGTAGGTCCATTCTTACAGAAAACGTGCCCTCACAAAAGGAGAAAGGAAGATTGACAACTTTAAAGGGTTTTCCTTGTTACACATTACACAGTTTTTCTGTTATGAATCAGTGGTGTAGTCCAAAAGGGGAAAGCCATGTGAGAATTAGTGAATTTAGGTATTAACAGAGATGAATCGTGATGCTGGTGCTCAGGACAGCATGATCAACTAAGATGTCAACACCCATGAGTCATTTTAGAAATAACAAACTTACAAACATCGTTAAAGTACATTGATTCTCAGGGTTAAGGCTTAAGTTGACTTTAAGCCGTACGAAAGTAACTTAAATATACATGAAATTGCCTAGTGGTGTAACACAGTAGGATTTGTTTTTTGGATTGAGTTTGTTTTTTCAGATTTCTTGTTTAATAAAATTGCACACAACGTTCAGAGTAAAGTCTCAGGTTTTTTTAGTAATGACAAAGTTAGTTTTCAGTGTTTTAATGAAGTATGAATCAGGTTATGTATGACACCTTCTGCATTTAAGAATTCTGATTGCTCCTGTAGCTGTCCTTCGTTGAATGCATGCTCTCAGCACAGTGCTTGGTGTGCCGTGGGTGTAGGTGCCCAGGACTCCCATGCCTGCGTGAAGGAGGGCTTGGTGTCTTGAAAGACAAGTCTTCAAATGCTTCCACATTAAATTAAAGATAGTACTACACTGGGGTAATTTACAGTATTCACGATTCTTTTCTAAATGGGAATGGTTTGGTCTCTTTCAAATAGGTAAAAGAGCATGTAGACGTGTTACTGGGTTGTGGGTGGTATTCAGTGCTCATGTAAAACCCTCCTGGCATACAATCACTGTAATAATTAGCACTTTGCCACTGTTAGCTCATTTGATGCTTCTAAGATCCTTTGAAACCTTGGCTTAGTAACAAAAGAAATAAGGTGCGTAATTTGGGGAACCAAGTCTGATTCCAAAACCTGTGCTTGTTATGGCTGGTAAGTAGTGTGTCCTCAGTAACGATTGTTTTACAGATGGGACATTTTATAAATCAAATGTGGCTCTGAAGGTGGATTTTCTTGGCAGATATGTTTGGTGAAAACTTGTATTAAATGTTCTTGGAGAACTTTGTGAAATTTTTGTGAGGCAAAAATGCTGATATTGGCTGAGCACGTCAGTGTGATGGATGTAACTTTGTACATAACACTATTTCAAAATAATGAGCACTAGACTTGTAAGGACTCTGTCTTGGCTTCTGTAGTTAGTAGATGATGGCAGCTTTGGAATCGGGATATTGAAGGGCCAGATGAACTCCGGGGATTGAGGCCTGTGACTGGCTGGATTTGGGGCCAAGGCAGGGGCCAGACTTGTCCGTCTTTCAGACTTAGAAAAGGAGGGGGTAATGCTGTTTCTCAGAACATTGACATGGGAACCAGACCAAGGCCTTCTTCAACTGGCCGAGTGTGTTGCAGGTAAGCTGATGTACAGTGTTTCATATACACAATCTTGTTTTTTTGCAACTGAATTAAGTTGTAACCAATCTACTATTAAAGTTTTTTAATGGGAAACATTTTGACAATGGACAATCATGTAAAAAATATTGCTCAGATCTACCTTATTACTGTCAACTCTAACCTAGTTCCTCTTTCCATAAGATATTTAGAAATCATGAAAAAGCAAAATTGAAATACTGACATGAGACATTTTGAATGGCAATTTCAATCATTAAGCCAATTGTTAGTAGGAGGTCTGATGAAAATGCTATTTTATTAGTCCTGAGTGGAATAGCTTTTGTCTCCATTTCTTCCATTCTCTTTATTTCCTAAATGTCTTACTACCCAGGAGATTTTAACAAACCATTTATATGCTTGTTTTCCCTAACACTGTGCTAAATTGTATTTGGGAAAATGCTTAACCTAAATCTGACCTTTTTTAAACTTATTTTTTGTTATTTTTATTATTTTATGATACAGTTCTGTAGACCCTGGGATTTCCCTTACCTCTTCCAAAGTCCCCCAGCCCCCACCAACTAGTTCCCCTATTATTACTTTAGTATAGTTCTTCATACACAGTCATGCACAATGGCAGAGAGTCTAGCATCCTATTGTCAAGATAGTTAGCAGTTTCATTGGGAGTCCATCTTTGGAGGTAGAGACGCGTACTGCATTGTATCCTCATACTTGGATATGGTAATTCTCCATTACACAGTTGTTATACATCCCCCTAAATGAAAAGCCACAATACAAAATCAACAACAGGAAGAAAAATAGAAATTTACAATGCCATGAAATTAAATACTGGGTATGATAGTCTTCATTACACAGTTACTGTACCTCCCCTTAAATGAAAAGCCATAAAACAAAATCAACAAGAAGAAAAAAAATGCCATGAAGTTAAATAACATGCTACTGATTGACGAATGTGTCGCTGAAGAAATGAAAAGGAAAATCAAGAATCATCTGTTGCCTACAGGAGGCATATCTCACCAACAAAGATCAGTGGAAACTGTTACAGGTTTTGAATTTTTTTTTTTTGTTTCATCTCTTCAGAACATTTTCTCATTAAATTCTGCACTGACTCATAGATCATACAGCAGCATCATTTTCTTCAAGAAGTCCATTTTATTTTTAATCATGAAAACTTTTTTGATTTTTACTTTATTAAGTGAAAGCTACGTCTGTTTTTGCCCTTTGGATAAGCTCATACCTGCAAAAACACTTCCTCATGTGGAGTTTTTCAGGCTGTGGTCATATTATCTGTGAAGCAAATAGGACCAACAAAGCTAGTTCCTGAACAGCTGGTGCCTGGCAGAAATCTGCCTGTGGCTGAGTGAGTGAGGGGATGATTCCACATTAGCCTCTAGTTTGGCTCCCGCCATTCCTCAGCTTGTCACGTTAGGGGGCTCCTGTTTTGCCCCACCCCACACTGCTTTAATACCTCTCGAGCTCCCTTCCAAATGTATGAGTTGTCTCACTGCTCTTCTCCTTTTCTATACCTATTTAACTTGATACAGCTTAACAGAGAAAGTTCCTTTACAAAGCGTGCTTGCTCCCTGAAGACATCTGTTCTGTGGTGTGAATGTTCTTGTCCCTACTGAATTCTATGACAAACCTGATTCCAAGGGTAGACGTTGTGGCAGAGTGGATTTAGCCAGCACTT